ATTTGTCAACATTACTGCCGACCACTTCAGCCCAAAGAGGGCCCGAACCCAACAGTGGTAACAAAAATGTCAATAATATAAATATCATTAATTGTGGCAAAAGTCGGGCCAAACGTAACACAATATATAGCACAACATTGAATCTCTTGACATCGCCTTTGGTTACCGACAGTGCGATATAATTAGTGAGAATTCCGCTGAAAAAAATTCTCAAAATTAAAATATTTATCACGAAATACCATAATATGTAAACATCAATTATATCATTGTGGTAACATTAATGCGTTAATAATACTAATAAAGTGTAACAACATTAGATGATGTGTAAATTTAATGACACTTTTGGCTAAAATACCTGATGAGTAGAAAAGTTGAGATACCATAGACTCCATTCAGTAGCGGCTGTACCATGAAGTTTGTCAACAAATCCTTCCCATGAAAGCTACGGGCTATTAATTTTACAACATTTATGTTTTAATTTTATAATATCAATTTTGAGCATATATTTTTATTTATAATCTAGGACTAACCAAACAATTGAAAATTACTCCATAGAATACTGTGTCCAAACAATATCCAAACAATGGTTAATACTCTGATGCCGTGAATACATGATAAATCCCGTGAAGTTGTGGGCGCTATGAGTCTGTTATATGTTTTCCTTACAGAGAATGCTCTGACAAATACAAAACCATTTGAATTCTCTGTAAATATTATACTGTATATGAGTTTATAAACATATTTGTTGCCAAAAAAATTGTCTAATACTTTCAAAATCAAATGTCCAGTCACAAAAAGTCGCCAAAACACACATCAATAGACAAATGGTAATAAAGGCGCTGTAAATAAAAACAATCAGTGATCAATACAATTAGCAAACAGTTAATAAATATATTGTAAATATTAAATCATTGGGAATAACTTGACATACATTGCAAACAATTGTTTTGAATTGATTAATATGTTTGCTTTGATTTCACATTTCACTGCCTTTAACTCGAGTCCAAACTTATCGGAAACTATACGCCAGTTATATGTATAATAATAAAATTAATAAATTTTGTTAAATACAAATATTACGCAATCGTTTGTTTGTAAATCACAAACTAATAGAAAGTTATGTATCTGTTAGAAAGATAACAAAAACTCTTAACGATAAATAAAAGTGATAAAATTTAATAAACAATTTAAGCTTATGTTTTAATGTTTTAAAGTGTTGTATAATTACCTAATTGTCCGATTGATTTCACGTCATTTAGTGAGCATTTATTCGGTACACAAACGCCGGTCCGAAATGACATCCAATAGAAAAATGAGGCCTCAGTTGCCATTATATTCAATGCATTGGATTTGTTTTGTATTATATCAATGGGTAATAGATTTGGGATTTTGTGAAACAAATNTTGTTTTGTATTATATCAATGGGTAATAGATTTGGGATTTTGTGAAACAAATTGTGTTGTTTAGGCATTGGTCGGGGAATATAGGGAACCAAATCCAGGGAACAATACTGAGCCGAACCTATCATATGATTGTCAATGATTGACAAACACTGATCATAGGATCCGAAGTCCGTAAGACTTCCTTCAAATAATCCTTATAATTGAAAGCATATTTTTTAAATTATATTCATATTTTATATTCTATGTATAGAAATAGAATATTACTTAATACTTATTAGACTTATAAATTAGTATTATTATTGAGTAAACATTAATAAAACAATTTAAAACTCCAAAACAAATTTACCTTTTGGTGGGAAATCTGCCCACGAATTAATCATTTGTATGGACCAGTCGTCCAGTCTTTCGATGCCATCCAATGTCGAGAATATACTCTTTGAACAACTTTCTGAAACATGACTTGAATTCAACAATTCTTCAACAAATGGTTTGTTTCTTAATCNTCGTATTAGTCTATCTGTACAATAAGAAAGCGGGGATTATATTAAACACAATAATAATTGTGATATTTTTAATCATCTCATCGATTATGATATATGTATACGAAGTGCCGCCGGCTATCATCCATACATCGCGAACGTATGTAAAAAACGTTATTAGTTTACCGTAAGATACAACATAATAATCACCATGATACTTTTACAATTATATAATTTAAGGGAACATTTTGAAAAATATTTCGGGAATCTCTATCACAAACTTCCGCCGTCTTATGGAGTCATGTATTTCATTGCTATTATGTTTGGATTTGCTATCCATAGGAAACCCACATTCAATATAACCAAAGTTTGTATTAAATGTCTGTGTTTTAACAAATTGGTAAACAGTTATTATATTTGAATAAATATTTAAACCAAATTTCAGTCATCGCTGACTATCATATGGATTGCAATACTCGCCGCCTATTGTATCCCATTGTGGGATAAAGTCTACTGGAGTTACGGCCGACCCTTCAGTCCCGCTTTTGCCACAGTTTTCTATACATTATGTCGAGTGATTTGGACGGTCTGTACGTCACTAATGATATGGTTGTGTATATCGGGAAAGGGAGGGCTAATCAACACATTTCTATCGCACCGGGCATTCGTACCGATGGCTCGGTTGACATATAGTGTGTATTTATGTCACGCGTGGCTCATATGGTATTTCATGGGTTCGCGCCGTCATGTGATGGACACTCATATGTATAACGTATTGATTAATTTCATACACATTACTGTTATGTCATATATAATGGGATTCCTATTCTTCGTTGTGTTTGAGTCTCCGATTCTTGAGTTACAAAAGTATGGAATCGAGTCTTTCGGACGAAAACATGAGAACAGAGATAAGACTTCAGTTGAACTCAAACTTAATCTTAAATCCAATTATCACAACAATAATGTTTAAAATAGTTTTAGTTCTTGTATTTGTGTTAAAATTCCACTTAATTTGAAATTAGTAATTTCAATTAAAAATACCGTAAAGTATTATACACTCATTGCAACAAATTATCATCATACAGTATTTAGACATATAATATTTAGCTACAATTATGATGTAAATATTTGTTTAATTTATTTATAATTATTTTTAAATAGATATTTTCTGATAATTGTATTTTTAAACTATGTACGTTTTCTGTTGTAGAATAAAATTAAGAATGATGCCATGTATTTGATTTCACAATAAATTTTACAATGCACCTCAATTTACAATGCTTATTTTAAATCATTGAAACATTAAGTACTTTCAAATACTTTTGATATAATATTATTTTATATCTATCTTAACATTAGTTTAAAATTTCTATTTTTAAAGTTCTGATTGTTTTCAATACTGGTTACCATTTATATATTGGTTTGAAAATGAATTGTTTGAGTCTTTTGTGGTATCATTTGAAACAAATTCTTCTTTTGTGAATGCATTCAAATATACATTTAAGTTATTTCACAACTTTTCTTATTTTAGCTTAATATACAGTATGAATATTCTGGTTATGGTTATTCTGGTTATCCGATGCCATACAATGATGTTTAGAAATCCAATCAATAGATGTCTTTGAAAACAATCCACGGATTGAGTACTGCTTTACTATAAACTATAGTATTTTATTTTATGAGTAGTATTTTCTATGTTATAAATGACCAGCTTTATTTCATTATTTATACTGCATTACCAAATGTTAAATCATAATAAAATTAATATGCAACACAAATTATTTATAATTTATAATTACACTAGTTAGAATGGATTAGTAAAATAACTTAATGATGTTTGCTTGCATAACAGCCAGCTCATCTAAATGCATAATACTTGTATATTTATGTAATAGAGTATTATTAAATTAAATCATTGCTTAAAATAGTCTCAATTTAAGTGATAATTGAATATATTCTGCAATTTGTTCACTAAAATAATGTTTAAGTATAATATTTATGTGATTTCTTATATTTTCCATAATAAATGTGAATTTTATTATTTTATTTAAACGAATTCTTTACAGAATTTACTCATCATTTTTGATGACATACTATGGAAAAATGCTGATGTTTTCCAACGCAATGTTTGCATTAAAAATATCATAAATTTTTATTATATTGAAACAGTAATTGGGAAAAATATTTACCTAATTATTATTATTATTATAAGAGAATTTTTAGGGTATTTACAAAATTTTATAAATATATGTTTAATGTTGTAATGAATAATAATATTTGCAAATATTTTTTAGATATTTATCTATTTCCGAAAAAATAATTAAAATTTTAATTAAAATTCTTAGAAACTTCTAATTTTGTCAAAAATATTTTTATTTTTCTAAAATATTAATTAAATTTCTTAAAACTGTTCATATTTTTAATCGTAAATCTTTACACAAATTTATAAAATATAATTAAAATATAATTTTCACTAAATTAGATCTGAATACAAGTTTATTTGATTTACAAAATAAACACTTTTCGTGGATATAACTAATCAAATGTTTGACAATTCAAACAACAAATAAAATAAATAAATGAATTTGTATTGAGAATTGATTGTATCATCAAATAGTCGAGAGAGAGAGAGAGAGAGAGAGAGAGAGAGAGAG